CTATGTCACCCTCCATTGGAATATGAGGATTCTGTGGTCATTCAAATGATGTTCCTTCTACATTTAGGGGCAGGTTTGTCATATGGGCAGGTGGGCAGAAATCATTCCCAATTGGAATGTGTTGTTCATCATTGTTGACTTTGTTAACATCGTTTCCTTCCTCAAACAAAGTAGTATATAAATCACCAACATGTGCCTCATTTTCTTCTCCGACGTCTTCTTCTTCAACATCTTTGTGTGGAATTGTGGTTGGCGTTTCTTTTATTGATGCATTGATGACCTGAGAAATTTGGGTTTGTTGACATTGTTCAAATGCTACATATAAATCAATGTACGAAAACTCAGAACATTCATGATTCGAGAACAGCGTTTCAACATCCTCGTCGTCAAAAACCTTTAATGGAACAAATTTAAATTGATTGTTCCTGAAATGGACAGCATTTCTGTAAGTAATATGTGTAAGTGATCCTGCTTGAACCTTCATCTCTACCCTTTCTTTAAAATGTTGGAATGACGTCCTTCTATTAATACTGAAACGACTAATGTCAGTATTTTCAAAGATCAAGCTCACTTCATCAGATACAATAACACTCTCATTGTAATGGGCATTAACAATATATTTAGGAATGTTAGACATGATATAAGAATATGTGATAAAAACTATTGGTGTTTGTGTAAAAAGATGTTGAATATGTGATATGAAAATGTTTGAAGATGTTGAAAAATTATTAGAACTCATACAAGTTATAAAGGAAATGATAGCATTTTTGGCATTTTCCTCACACCCAGACATGTTGTGTGTACGTTGATTTTGGTCAAAACGACCATAATACAGTGTTGCCCATTGAAAGGGAAGAAGAGAAAAATATTTAATGTTGTCACGCATTCAGGACCCAACAGACCTGTAAAGCTGCAAAATAATTACACAATGTCGCTCATTCAGATGCCGGCAGTCAGATAGAGAATAATAGTGCCTCCCATTCAGGTGTCGGCAGTCAGACAACACATAATGCTTCCACCCATTGAAAAGGCGGAAGTCAACAGCATTTATATTTTTCCATGCATGCAAGATACACGTACCAGCATTTCTATTACACACTTCATTAATATTTCAACCAACATGCATTAATAAACCTACCAGCATTTCTTCACATTTATCCTATAAATACCTTATCAATTCTAACAATACCTCATCACAAAAAATATCTATCAATCTTACAAAATTCTCTACTACCAATCTTACATATAATTGCTTTCTTAACATTAGGAGATGATCTTCGAGGAACACCTACAAACATTGCATCATGTGTAGGTTTTATAATTTTTATAAAATTATAATTCTAATGTTTATAAGGTTTATATATTTTTATATATTTTGTTATAATGTATATATCTTATTATAATTTTTATAATGTATATATCTTGTTATAATGTTTATAATTTTTGGTATTGAACGAGTAGTCTCCTGAGGAATTGAAAATTTATAAAACTATAATATATATTTTATTGTTTTTTGTATGGTTTTTATTTTCTGATACTAATGGTAACATTATTCATCTTCAATTTTTACCATTATTAGAATATTTAAATAAAATAAGTAGATATAGTTGGGGTGCTGCTACTTAGCGCATCTATACAGAAATTTGTATAGATGCGCTAAAAAATATGCATAATTTTATTGGTTGTGGTGTTTTGATTCAAGCTTGAGGATGGTCCATAATGCCCAGACTATCACCAACAAATCTCAATTCATACCACTTTCCATATGCGACCAAATAAGTATACAAAATTTATTTCTTTATATTTTTATCTATAACTTTTACTAACTATTTATTTTATAGGTGGTCCGCATATGGGATGAATTACGACAAAACCCATCGTCATTGTGTTCCTGGATATCGGACGTTCTTCGATCACTTCGAGGAAGATGATGTATTATCTCTAAGACTTATACTACTACTATCAACGTTTATTTATAATTTTTTTAACTAATCATTTTTTGAACTACATTACAGTTTCTACTGAGGTCATATCTTTGACTTGAATAGGAGGATCCGACTGAAAGCGATGTGTGGAGTTCTACAACATTCATTTTTTGTTTCACTTATGTTGAAATGCATCATTCGAATAGGGTAAAACTCCAATTTGGAATTCAACAAGACATTTCTGGTCCACCTAGGTGCATGGATAAGTACCACGAGAGTATGACGACCGAGCAATGGAAATTTGATAATTAGAGAGACCATAATAGACAAGAACGCCAACAATGAATAAATCGTCGCCAAACTGTCCTACAACAAAATGTCATGGATACCGAATGCAAATCCAGTAGAGAATACATAAATTTGTATAGATCTGTGACCATTGTGTATCTATCACAAAATAGATACGTATTTGACCCTTATAACCAACTGACTTTTTCAAACTTCCAACACACCAGACCACCACGTAACATCCAACCACAAATATTTTATACTCCACGATAAATATTTAACACCCAACCACAAATATTAACACCCCACAACAAATATTTAACACCCAACAACAAACATTTAACACTCAACAACCTTTCAGCCCAACACAACAACTTTATACCCCAAGTCAGCATTACCTTCAACCATACATATCATTTAATCCAACCCCTTTTAACACCCAACAAAAAAACTCATCGTTTTCATACACCCAACAACAAACATAGTCAACCACCCAATATAACCAATACTCATTCTCTCAACCTACCCCACAAGAACACAACTACCGAACACCCCAACCACAAGTCTCTTTTTACCCCTCACAAACCTTAACCCTTAATTCATCTCAAGACCAACATCCATACACCCCCTACATGACTAACACAATGTCACCTACCAACCTACCAAGTTGGAGTAATTAGGGAACAAGATTAAATTATGGCAGTGTGGCGGCGATACCAAATGTGGACGATTTGACTGATGATATGGTCGTTGAATTCATGATTCCTAAAAATGATGCAAGACCTTTTACTCAGCCCCCAAATGTTGATGTTGATCGTAGAAGGTCCGCTAGAAATGTGCAAGCTCCTTCCTGTGCAACCCACCAACGCTTACGTCGACCGAGTCAAAATCAAAGGTAGATAGGGGTTTAATGTACTTTACTATTTTCATAAATAAATGAATATTTATTTTAATTAATTATTTTATTATTATGTTGTTTTTTAATTATATAGAGTCTTAATTACAAAATTAAATAATTACATAATTAAATTATTCATAATTTCATAATTATTATTTATAATTTTATAATTATTATTTATAATAATTATAAATTATTATTATTTATAATTATTATTCATAATTATTATTTATAATAATTGAGTTTAATTTAATTTAATTAAAACATTATTTTTATAAACATAATTAATTAATTAAAACTTAATTACACAAATAAATATAATTAAAAAAATTAAAAGTCGTATACACTACCGTCCATTAAAATGGCGACACCTTTAATATTTCAACTCTTCTATCCATTAAAAGGACGGGAGCCTTGTAGCAAAAACACATTTTTTATAAAAACATGGCATTTTGATATATTTGTTGTAAATGAAGGAATTATGGAGAAAAAAATTGTAATAATATGATAGGGCAGAAAAAAATTCACATAGTTATCCCTAGCATATTGACTCATAATTACAAGATTTTTAGTGATAGATGGGACAAGAAGAAGTTTGTTCAATTTAAAAAGAAATGTCAAGACATTAATTGGAGGTAATTAGACAAATCTTGATCATTTTCAATGTGGACATGTCAGATCCAGGGAGTGAAATGGAGTCCATGAGATTGGATGCATCTGATGTGACATGATGTGTTGTTCCTGAACCAGGGTACCAAGCTTGGTTGTTGAAAGGTGAGGAATCAGTGCCCGTTACAAATGTCTGAGGTTTTTGTGCAGTGTACTAAGTGTGTAGAGAAGGACTCAGGTCTGAAAGCATTCATGTGTGTGGAGTTAAGGGTTGTGTCCAAACTTTGAACTGAGGAGTCTTACTCAGAGACTTCAAAAAATTGGATGAGGAAATATGCACGAAAACTTAGTTTGTGTAATGCTCTCACTGCTGAGATATGCACCACATGGCATGGGATAGAGCTATTTTGGTAAGAGGGAATTGCAAATTTAATAGTCAAGAGTGATTATAAAATCTCAATGGATATGATCAATCAAAAAAGTGTAAATGAGCATAATTTTTCAATTTTAGTCCACATAATCAAAAAAGTAACTCAATAAACATGACACATCAAATTCAAATATAAAATACTAGGGTCTCATTCCATAAACTTACTAGAGTTTATTAATCTTTTACTCTTTTGATCTTTTGACCCTCCTTTGTGTCCAAAAAAATGACTAAATTGCTTATAAAAATAAAAATAAATACTGAATTAACGTGTAACAAATATATAAAGGTATGAAATATTTAGCAAAGTAAAACTATAGTTCTTAATCGAAATAATTTTCAATAACAAACGAGAATACATACACTAGAATGTTTTAGTTCTAAAGAAATTTAAGAAAGAAAGAAAATAATAAGCCAAGGAAACCCAACAAATTTGAGTACTCCTAACCAAGAGACAACCGCAGAACTGGTTTTTTTTCTAAAACACTACTATAATTTGGTTTGTAAATCATTCATAAAAAGCATAAGCCTGATTAGAGGTCCCAATTTATCCATCATCTCCCACTTTACCCATAAAATAGAAATGTCACATTATTACCAATTTCTTACGATTCATTCCAAACCCGTTACCGCTCTATATTGGTATATTGGCAGCCATAATCAAATTTTAAACTTTCAGAATTACAGAAGCCATCAATCAAATTTTGAATTGAATTGCCTTACTGGAGAACAAAACAGCACTATTCTATAATTTATATATCATCTTAAGCAAAGTAACAAACAAAAAGAAAAAGAAAAATGAGAATGAATACAAAACTTAGCCGGGAAAATAAGACAAGCCGCCTATTTTCATTTATTTTCTTCCCTTCTTTGCAGAGCCCTTTGAAAATCCTTTTCCCTTTGGAGTGTTACCCTTGGGAGCCTTGCCACCCTTTGGACCGTTGCCGCCCTTTGGAGCCTTGCCGCCCTTTGCCTTGGAACCTCTTTTTCCTGCCTTACCCATTCCACTTTTTCTCATATCCTTCTTCATCCTGCGATCAACAAGAACTTTTCCCTTGCCAGTCTTAACTTGAACACCTTTCTTTGCAACTACATACTCCTTTTGAGGCCTTTTTGGAACGGCGTTTTTATATAGTCGATCAATTTGCTTACTCTTTGAACGTTCTGATATGTCTGGCTGATCTGATATAACATTGGCCTTCTTGCGTACTTTCTCAAGTTTCCTCATTGCAACACGCTTCTTTCGGGCTTTGGCCTCAGCAACCTTCTTTGCAGGCCGGGCATCAATTGCTTTAAATTGTGCTTTCATTGCCGCAACTTCCTCTTTGGTGATAGGCTTTTCTGGTTGACAGTGTTTCCTTTCGTCATCTTGAAACCACTTGGGCAATCCTTCATCATGAAACATGTGCTTATTATATGCATCATCTAGGATCTGTTCCCTTTTCTTTTTCCTTATCATCTTTGAAGCAAGAGCCAATGACTCAGCTTTTGTTTCAACATCCCAATCCGACTCATCAGAGGACGAATCATCTGAATCAGTATCAGGTTGAGGAACAATCTCAAAATCCATTTCCTTAGATGCTTGAGGTTGAGTGTGATTCATCATCGCAGAATCAGCTGACTTATTTTCTTTTATCTTGTCAGAAACAGACTTATTTCCTTTGATCTTGATAGCAACGGGCATCTTCTCCTTTGGCCCATCAATATCCATTTCATTTTCACTATCATCCCTCTCAAAATCTTGTTCTTCTACAGCTTCAGCAAAGATATCCTGATTAAACCATGTATTTGTGATCTCCTCTTGGGTGAGCGCTGCCCCGTCATTGAGGGGCACCATCAAAGGGTTTGCTTCTTGAACATCATCTTCTGAATCATAATTGGACTGAACAATGTCATCATTTTCACCAGCCTACAAACCAAAAGATAATAGTGTGTAAATATTTCTTTTTGAGCATGGAACAGAATAAAAAAAGGACATGCCGTTCTACGGTTCCCAATAGTAAGACCGTTGTATTTGACTTGCAAAAAATGCCACTTCTAAAGGGAAGTCCAAGCAGGTAAAACTAACAGTAACAACATAAAAAACATGTCTATATTACCAGTAAGCTCCATAAAAAGGAACTGGTCATAGGATATGTTTGAATGTCGGAAAGGGAAGAAAATAAAGGAAACTTGAGTTAAGGGAATGAGAATATGTAAAGAATGTAGTTTATAGATGTTCATAAAAGCAATAGTTTATCAAGAATTGGAGTATAATTCCAATCCCCTTTATATTTATAACTCCCAAACCAGAAGGTGTATTTACATCAACATTCACAAAAAAAAGAAAGCTCCATACCTCCAAAAGTTGGGAGTCTACATCATAGGAGTTTTTAATACGCTTACGCTGCTTTGCAGTCCCTTCCTTTTTTATCACAAACCGCTCATAAGCTTGTTCAAGTAAATCTTCCATTTGTTCATCATATCTGATACAAGTATACAGTTAGATTACCCAGTTATGAAAGACCAACCGAATAGAGCAGTTGAGAGGTGGGAACAAATGTGATTAAAGAATGGTTTTCATAATTTAGAAAAACAAATAAACAAAAGGACAAATATACATCCCACATTTCTATGCTTTTCCTCGCAACATTCCCTTGTTTACTATAACTGTTAAAATCACCCCCTGTAACAAAATCAATGGTCCCCAACACTTCAATCCTCAAGAGGTATACCCCTCACACTTTCTTCTCAAGGTCCGGGCATAAGAGATACACACTGGTTAGGCTATTGCTAGATATATGCGGAGAATATAAGTGATCTCATAACATTAGGAACAATGAAAAGAACCTGTCAATCACCTTTTCCGTTCTTCGTCAGAATCTAATTCACTGGATGAATGTTCTGAGCCACCTTTGTTTTCTTCATTCTCACTGTCATCCTCTTCGCCCTCACCACCTTCATAATCAGTGGTATCAACAGCTACCAGATCCTTCTTACCCTAAAACCCCATGACAACAACCAAGAAAACAGTCAGTAACAACTTGAAAACACATCTCCTATCTAACGATGAGTAATTAATAAAACTCAAGCCGTGAAGCTATTCTCATATCTTAATATATTCAAACAAGTAAGCAAAAAGAAAATACTCATCACAAAAAGGTAAGATATGCTCTCATTCTGTTTTACGCGTGAAAGGAAAGACCAAAAAAGACATTTGCTAAGATAAAAAGTCATATCACTAATATGTAATTTACTCCAAAGAATAATGGATAAGAAAACTATCTATGAAATATGGTAAATTTATAATCCGAGCAATTTACAATATGGTAAATCTTTGTCACAAAGGGAATAAATTCTCATGAATGGGTCAAACAAACAACCAGTATGTACATACCTCCTTAAACAAATTATATTAACTTGTAAACCATAAGATACTACTTAAACATATATGATAAGAATAATTTGATAAAATCATTCCAATCATCAAATCCTTGGTTTCAAATAGAGGAAATAAAAAGATAGATCAATTAGGAAGAATTATTCCACTCATTAAGCCGTCGGTTGCTTTTCTTAATAATTGTTAAAAAAAAACAATGAAAAAAAAAACACTTCATTTAAATAGTGGAAGTAAAATGATAAAAATAAAACCTTGATCGAGGCAAGGGAAAACAACTCATGATCAACATAATCTTCTACTGCATCAATTTGCATCCCTGTTGCTTTCCGCGCCTTGTCCTGTAAAACCCAAACGGGTAAAGCAATGAATCAGCTTAATCTCATCCACAAATAGGATTAAAAACCATAGTTGGGCTTAGAATATCATGATACATAATAGATTAACACTATTTTTGGCCTTGCACGCCCTTAAACCATTTTTGAGACTAACATCATGTAAAATCTTGATATCAATATCATATTAACCTATTATGGTTTCCAAATAAATATTCACAACAATTTTTGCAATGAGAAAATTTATATGTATGGTAACCAACTCCACTCAAAGGCAAATAAGAAGCCACAAACCTTAGCTCTTCTTTTCGCTAGAATCTTTTTTTCACGTTTCTTCTTGCGGTCCAGTGCATTTGTCAGTTCCTCCATTTCATTGAGTAGTCTATCATCTTCATCCACCTCATTCTCATTTTCTACTACAGCTATAGAAGCAGGTTCAGTCTTTTTAGACGGTGAAAGAGCTTTTCTAATGTGAATCCTCCACCTACAGGTAACCAGCAGATACAAAAATCATTTTCCCCAGACAAAACAAAATAATAAACATATTCAGGATCAATCATTTAAAAAATATAAAGCAAGAAACAACAGGAAATGTACTTACTTTAAAAGATGCTTGAAGTCTTGCTTCCCCAAAACCCTCAAATCTTCACAGAGAGATTTTACCTGCCATACAGCCATAATCAAAGCATTTAATATTAACAGCATTAAGCATTGTTCATACCCTCAACTAATTAAAATTTTAGATATCATTGTATATACCCAAAAAATACCTCTTCAGTAGTTAGTTTGTTATCCTTGATTTGTAAATCAGCTGGATCAGTAAAACTTATAGAAGTAACTGAACCAAGAATCTCCAGAGGAGCATCTGACCAAATAAAACTTGCAGCTGAAGAAACCTTCCTCAAAGTTGTGATTCCATCTTCATACCTGTAGGTGTAAAATAAAATAAAATAGTTAAAATAGCAACAAAAACCTTTGTATAATTAAGCAGTTGAACTAAGGAATTTATATTGTCCAACTATTTGTTGTTTCTCAGAAAACCATAACATTGTAAATAATTAGTTTCTTATGAAAAAACACATGTTGATTCTACAATACAAGTTAATAAAATCCATTTCAAGGTAGAACTATTTGAGAAAGCATGCTTAAGCCATAATAAACAGTTTGAAAGATAAAACACGGTGCTGAGGGAATTACCCATCACGGTGCCTCTTTTGCTTATTGTCTCTAAGTACATCCACCACCTGTTTTAACAATGCAACAGCCAGGAAAATTAAATGAAAAAAGCAACAAAAATATAAGTTACAACGCCGATCAAAATTTCCATAAAAATAAAAAAACAATTTACCTTGGCTTGCGGCTGAGCAGATGCCTGAAAAAGATGCTTGTAGTCGAGAAGGCGAGGATCAATCTTAGCAGGAGCCTTGTACTTAAGCCCCACAAGATATATCTCAGCAGATTCAGATCGACTGGCAAGCGGTTTATCCACCTCAACCTTCTCAAACAACTGCAATTCAAATAGTCCACCACCACAGCAAACAATTTTCAACATTCAGCAACGAATCCAACCAAATCACAAAGAACCAGTAACTGATTCTTCATTTAAAAATTCAATAAAAAAAATGCATTAACCATTACCTGCTTCAAACAATACACAACAGCACTGTAATCCTGCGACCTGAAAACCTATCACAAAACAGAGTAGCAAGAATAGTTTAAAAATACCATAACGAATAATAGCAATAAACAATGATTAACAAAGCTAATCGTGCAATAATAGATTGTAATACCTTGGTGACAAACGTGCCCTTAGGTGCTAAAAACTGTGTAGCCAACTTAACAGAGTCAATAACAAGAGCATTCTGACTCGTAGCTTCTTGAGCCCAAGCACCACCGACATTCGGTGAACCATCGTGAAGAATAACATCAAAAACACTACAACCATTTTGGTTCATGATTTTCTTAATCCGTGACTTGCACTCAGGTCTCGTGATATCCTCCTGAATGGCGGTGGCTCCATTCATGGGAGCGATGGGGGCAAGGTCAACTCCGATGACAAGGTTGCCCTGGGGAACATGTTTGACCGCCACCTGCATCCAACCTCCGGGTGCGGCGCAGAGATCAAGGACGGCGCGTGCGGAATTGAGGAAATCGAACTTTCCATTGATTTGAAGGAGTTTGAATGATGCTCTGGATCTGTAACCGGTTTCTTTGGCTAAGTGGTACCACTTGTCCAAACGATGCTTACCTTTTGCTTTCGCCTTCCCCATTGAAGCTTCACAGTTTGGAGCTTGGGTTTTGATTAGGGTTTTGGAAATGGAACTATGTAAATCGGGGAGGTTTTATTCATTCGTTATTGTCTGGTTAGGACTCGTTTACATAATGGACCGGGTTGGATAATCGACCCGTATGGCTTTGTATTCTATTTTTCGGCCCATTATAATTTAACGTGCTCTTCTTCCACTTTTAATCATGTAACGTGTTCTTGTCAAAAATGAACTAGTCCATATAGCTATGGACAGGGACTCGAAAAATTTGAGTTTTAAAATGAGAGCTTATATTTTTAAAATTTTTTCTAGCTTAATTTTAAACAAATCTGCTATTTATTAGGGTTAGTTCATATGAACTGGATAGTCCATTAGATTTATATTACTATAAATTTTAAAATATTATATTTATATTATATTATTTTATTCCAAAATAACAAATTAATTTATTTTACTTCACTAAATTTTATCTGTATTCTATTTAATATTTTTCTTTTAAATAATATACATTAATATAATCAATACTCTTTTCTCTCGTATTCTATTAGTTTCTCTTATATTAAATATTTGAATATTATTGTATATAATTTATACATATATTGTATTTAAAAACATATTATAATATTTATAAAATATAATATACTACTTAAAAATATATTATGTTTAAAATAATATAATTTTTAATTTAATTTACAATAAATATTATGACTTTTTTATTTTTATTTTTTATTATTAAAAAAAACTCGTTTAGGGATGAGTAATTCGAAGCTCATCTAAGGCCGGACTTGAGTAATAATTTTTTAGTCCGTATTAAAAATGAGTTTTTTGCCTCAACCTTAAAAAGTCTGAGCCCACTAAGGCTGATCCATTTAGAGTCGGCTAACTCATTTTGACATCTTTAATGGATATTAAAAATAATATTTATATATATTTTATTGTCAATTTATTTGATTATTGTTTTGTGATACTTAATAAAATATTCTAATCACATTTTCATTTATTTTTCAAGACAAAATCAATTTGATGTAAAAGACAAGGGATATCTAATATTTTTATTTTTATTTTTTAGGATGAAAGAATGTAAAAAGAACTTTAGTATTTAAAAAATGGTACACTAATATCATATGTTCTTATTCAAATATGCCCTAATATAATTATGGTGGGAATCAAGTTAAATGAAGTGGTTAAAGTGGATGTCATCACACATTGTTGCATCTCGCCTGCGTGATAAAATGGTTATCATCAAAATTATTGACACAGATTTTTGCTCGAAATGACAACGGATAAATTTCACAGATCCAACACGTAAATTAATATTTGAAAAATAAATATTAAAGTGACTTATGTCAAACTCCATGAGAGAAACCAAGCAACAACGTGATGTTATAGCTTTTTCTATTGGTTCATGTGTGCAAGAATCAATTGTGGTATTCTATTTATTAAAAAAATATTTATGCTATTAACTATTTCGTGCTTGGAAATTACATAATTATAAATCAACAATAAACTCCAAAAATTCATTTTCTTATAAAGATGTAATATTTCGAGGATATTTTGCCAACTATTACATTTTGGCAAACACATATTGTACATAAGTGAACTCTAATAGAGTAACATCAAATGCAAAATGAATGAATAACTTAAATTTGTAGTGTTTACAAATCAATCTAACTAACAATTAAAAATTGAAAACTGTCATTAAATCAACACAAATTATTAACCATAAGGAGCATTTCTTCATAATTAAAGTGAAACACATGTTTCATTTATTTGAAATATTTTATTCTTATGACAATTAAAACAAATATTTTGCATTTATTTGACCATTTTCACTATCTCACAAATCAAATATGGTAACCAAATTTCAAGGCGACAAGTAAATTATATAAGTCATGTGGAAAACATGGTTTTAATTTGATTTGGCCCATTGGAAAAATGGAGATGTCGTGACACTTCTTGCCATTCAACCAAAATATTATTCTGAAAGCAATCATTATTTTTCTTAGGTGACATCTCTTCACAATACATTCCTAAACATTATCCTAAAAGCAAGTTCAATGTATGCATAAATAAAAGCTTTCAATCAAAACAAACTCAGTCAATTACAACATTAATAAGACCTAGATATAGACAATAAATCTCTTGTTAAAAATACCTTTGTATACACATGGTGACTGATACAAAGATAATCTAACACGTCGGTTGGTTTATGTAGCATTAAAAAGGCCGGCTGCAGCCGCTCCATACCCTTATGTTCGATCAAATAACTCCAAAGAAGTACCAATGAATAATCACTAACACCCCTACTAACATTACAAATTTTTTTCACGATCATAACAGATATTATCAAGGATACTTTACTCCTCTACATAAAAAAATTATTATACTCTTCAAGACAGGTACTTCAGAGCCCCCAATCAATCACCCGGAGAACTGCAACATCGCCATAAACTAATATTTTGACCATGCACCTAATCTAATATGATGTGGCTCTGAATTCAATTAATATTGTAATGCTAATTGCAGTTGAATTGAATATAAGCCAAACTTCTATTTATTACTACCACTTATCGAGCCACTCGTATATGTGCCTCATAATGACTTCCCCATCGGTCACTGCTTAAAGTAAAAAGTAAAACACAAAACTGAACAAATTGATTTTATAACTATTTTTGACTGTGTTCTCACTTGCAAATTTTCTATATTGTTATTCCTACGTAGAAAGTGCTTTAAATAGTCCTCAAACAATTTACCAATTAAATAAGTTATCCCTAACCAAACAATGTCATATGCAAAATGTAACAAATTTGATGAAAGAGTTATGACAAAGATTAAATTCTAAATAACACTAAGTTTTAACTCGTAGATTAAGAAAGCTTTTCAGTTATCTTCTAGCTTAAGAAATATATTTAGTTGAGAATGCACACCACCTTAAGTCAAATGCTTGATGTTCTTCATCCCCAACTTCACCACGAGTCGCTTGAAAACATCGTTTGTAACCGATTTCGTCAATAAGTCTGCGACTTGTTTTTCACTTCTGCAGTAGCTTAAACGTAACTGTCCAGAACTCACCAAATCGCACAAGTAATGGAACCTCATCTCAATGTGCTTGCTTCTACCATGTGCTATGGGATTCTTAGCAAGGTTGATGGCTGAAATGTTGTCCACCAACAACAAAACTCCCTCTCTCACGCAGATGTCCAGCTCACGCAACAGAGTCACAAGCCACACAGCTTGGCATGCACACATCGAAGCTGCAATATACTCCGCCTCGCAAGAAGAGAGAGCAACCACCGGCTCCTTTCGAGAACACCAAGAGATTTGTGCACCGCCGAACATAAATACATAACCCGCCATTGATTTTCGATCGTCTTTATCTCCGCACCAATTGGAGTTGGTGTATCTAAGTAAATTGCAACTTCTGCTCATGTCACTTGTCGGAAACAAAATTCCACAGCCAAGAGTACCTTTCACATAACGAAGGATCCTCTTAACCGCTGTCAAGTGTGATACCTTTGGCTTTTCCATAAACCTACTTGCAATACCGACACTAAACGCCAAATTAGGCCGCTTATTGCACAAGTAACACAATGATCCAACCAATCTCTGGTATTGAGTTGGATTCACATCTTGCTCTTCCTCACTCTTGGATAGTTGTAACCGTGCCTCGGATGGAGTTATGGCAGCATTGCAATGCTCCATATCACACCTCTTCAAGATCTCAATTGCATGCCTTCTTTGATGCATGAGAAACCCCAACTTTGTCTTTTGGAACTCTATGCCTAAGAAGTATGTCATAGCACCAAGGTCACTCATTTCAAATTCCCTCATAAGCTCTTACTTGAACTTTGAAATGTATGATTCACAACTTCCGGTAATCAATAAATCGTCCACATATAGACAAAGAATGATCACCCCTTCGCTAGCACCCGTTTTCACATACACCCCATGCTCAGACACGCATTTATTGAAACCAATATCGTTAAGAAAACCATTTATGCATTTGTTCCAAGCTCTTGGAGCTTGTTTCAAACCATAGAGTGTCTTCCTCAATTTGTAGACTTTTACCTCTTGGTCTGAACAACAAAACCCGGTGGATATCCCACATACACCTCTTCATTCAATGGACCGTTCAAAAATGTCCATTTGACGTCCATTTGATATAACAGCCAGCTGTTGGTATTTGCAATCGCAACAACTAACCGGATGGTTTCAGGCCTTGAAACGGGTGCGAACACCTCATCAAAATCAATGCCTTCCTTTTGCAAAAATCTCTTTGCCACTAATCAAGCCTTATGCTTGATTATCTCACCTTTCGGATTTGCTTTCACCTTGAAGACCCATTTCACACCAATTGCCTTTTTACCTTTCGGTAAATCGACCAACATCCAAGTATTGTTTTTCTCAATTGATTCCAGCTCATCCTTCATTGCACTCATCCATTTTGGATCGCTTAATGCCTCCTCCATATTCATCGGTTTAGATTCGGCCATTAAAGCGAAATGGATGAGATCACCATCATGATTGATCTTGCTATCACGGAATACCTCACAATCTCAGAGTCTTTGAGGCATACCTCTCTGCCTCGTTGGTCGTCTATTCGTTTCACCATCCTCCATTGCGAATGGTTGCTGTCCAGGATCATTAATAGGCTAGAAATAAATTTCCTCTCAGGAAATTGATTTCTGGGCCTGAATTTTGACTTCCAGCAGCACCAGGGAGCTCTGTCACGGGCTGGAAATCGATTACCTCATTTGGTAAATCGATTTCATGTACAGAAATTTTGCTGTCAAACATCCGGATTTCATCCACAATCACGTCCCGACTTACCATAATCCTCTTGCTACTCATATCAAACAATTTGTAGCCTCTGGTAGGATGATATCCAACAAGTAACAACTTCTCACCTTATCATCAAGCTTCTTTCTAAGCTGTCTCGAAATGTGTCGAAACACAATCGAACCGAAAACACGCAAGTGGCTCAAACTCGGTTTGAATCCGGA